AACATTCCTATAATTTCAGACACATACATAAAAATCACACATTGCGTTAAAAAAATAAAAATAAAAATCGTCCTTGATAATGGCTAAAAGAATAGACAGAAGCACTCGGATATTCAAAACTTTTGGATAGTTTTTACACACTTTGCATCCAGATAAGAAAATACTTTACTAACACAAGAAAAATTAAATAGAAAACTTAATTACAGTATCTTGCCAGTCGTCTTTATGGTGTTAACCATGTTTTCCGTAGTCTTTGAATATAGAATCCAGTGTAGTACGTAATGTATTCAATGAAACAACGCCAATATAACTTGTAGCAGCTGTTCAATAATTCTTCAGGTCTTCGATATCAGAGGTTGGCAGTGAATATTCGGAGAAAGTAGCAGCTGTTAAGTAATTCTTCAGGTCTTCGATATCAGAGGTTGGCAACTAATATTCGGAAAAAAAAACATGGCCGCCTTTATACACGTCGCATTGAATATTCTGAGCCTTCTGATTGGTTAACTCTTCTAATTGGTGAACTATAAAATGAGTCAGCTCATTTTGGCTAGCTCACTAGTACTAAAGTACCCAAAAATTCTAACATAAGGAAACTTGTATATATATATATATATATATATATATATATATATATATATATATATATATATTATGAAATAGATTAAATCCGACAATTATTTAATATATTTTTCTGTTTATACGTTATTTTAATAGAGACAATTTATTTGATACTCTGTTTTTTAAATATATAATATTAATTACATTTACCGGTCTTAATGTTCGAGAACTTTTGTAGAAAATACGCGTTATCTGACAGGAATCGAAGCTGTGTTCTATATGGAACATCCAATTGATCTGACGTGCTATACCACTCGGCTATAGAGAAGCGTCTGCTTAGCTAAATCCAAATTACTGTTTTTAAACAACAAATCTTCGACGATCTTTCCCGAACGATCATATCTGCTCACACAATGTACCTTAACGTGAACATTGGCAACATATTATGAAATGGATTAAGCCTGATAATTATTTAATATATTTTCTGTTTATAAATTATTTTAATAGATATAATTTATTTAATTATATTCTCTAATGACGTTTACCGGCCTAAATGTTCAGGAATTTCGTGGAAAATATGTGCTTCTCAGATAGGAATGGTACGTCACATCAATTGACGGTTCCGTATAGGACACAGGTTCGATTCCTATCGGAGGAAGTGCTGCAAAATTTCTTGAACATTTAAGTAAATCTAATTAATACTGTTTATTTATAAAAAGAGCTTTTACGTAAATAAATTGCATCTATTAAAATATAAACAGAATATATATATATATGTGTGTGTGTGCGTGTATGTATATACAAAATTAAAATTAAAGACGACTATCAAGTTACTACGATTAAACATTTTTTACTTGTGTTCGTACAAGTGCTTTGTTTTCTGGACATAACGTTTGTAAAGACTGTCCGAATGTTCTATATACTCGTCATGAAACTCTCTCTCTCTCTCTCTCTCTCTCTCTATATATATATATATATATATATATATATATATATATATAATAGAATTTGTATGAAAAATGGATTGCTTTGCAAATACACAATTATATAAATGGTGAATTGTCGGCAATAGTCGCCATTTTATATTTTTTATTTCGCTCATGTGTTTTGTTTGTTTTTGATTTTGTCAACTGCACAGTATTGTAGGGTCAGTTGGGCACCATCTGTGAGAAAAAGAACACCATGACACAATTCACTCCGCCAGAAATTTGGAAACGGCATGCTGTACTGCTTGAAATTCACGCCGGAAGCTTCAATAATAGTATTGTTTAGGTGTCAATCTGAGGACAATGCAGAAGATTCGGAAAGAGTTCGATGAGTCTAATGATGATTAAGAAGGTGTTTAGAGTGATCACTAGTGATAGCGACGTTATGCTTCCATTCATCCTTCCACCGGACTTCAGTCTCAACACGGAGGCCTACATCAAGTATCTCGAGGAGGTAACGCTACTATTAAAGAGGGTGGCTGTTGGAAGACCCTATTTCTGGCAACAGGACTCTAAATCATGCCACACAAGCAGCAGAACCCAGTCGTGGCGATCAGAAATTTCTGTGACGACATCACTCCTTACATCTGGCCACCTAAAATGTCCAGACTGCAACCCCTTGATTTATTGTGTGTGTGTCGCAGTTGAGCGTGAAAACTTCTTCGAACACAAAAGATGAACAGAAGGCAAGGATTATGAGAGCGTTCACCACCTTAAACAAGGAGACCGCCAAGAAGAGTTGCAGGAGATTCCGAAGTCGTCTGGAGGCCGGGGCTGAAGCCAATGGCGATTTTATTGAATAAATTTACTCTTTAATGTTTCAAGATATATTTTTATTATTTTGGTGAATATATCCGTGAAAATGAGATGGCAGTATTATTTTCATTTTTTCATAATGTAGACGAAAATTTATACATCATATCCTCCCATATATTTCATTATATATATATAGTTACTGCAATTTAACATTTTTCTTGTATTCGTACAAGTGCTGTTTTTCTGGGCAAAAAGATTGTAAGCACTGCCCGAACGTTGTATATATCCCCCATGAAATTATGTCATGGAACTTATATCAAAAAGAGACTGCTCTCCAAATGCACAATTATATATATATATATATATATATATATATATATATATGTGTGTGTGTGTGTGTGTGTGTGTGTGTGTGTGTGTGTGTGTGTAAGGGAAATGAATGCACTTAAATTCGAGATTTTTTTTCTTTATAGTGTTCTCCGTAGCCGAACGGTAATACTCGCCTATCTTTCGGTTCACACTCCTCCAGTTCTTTTGAACAGGAGTAGATGTTTATCCGTTGTTTTCTGTGGAGAATTGGGCCTCCGATTCCTTCTAAAATCTTCCTATTGTCTTTCACTCGCAGCAGTCTCCTGTGTCTTAGTGGCATTATCGTCTTGTTTAATACATTTCTCTCTCTCTCTTCTCTCCTCTCTCTCTCGATATATATATATATATATATATATATATATATATATATATATATATGTATATATATATATATTATATATATATATATTAAAATAATATACTGATGCAGCAAGCCTTCGTTTAGTAGACATGTTTTATTATTGAAATCGTACATTTCATTTGATGTCTGGTGGAAATTCTAAAGAGATTTTTCGGGTACTTTAAAGGAACATTGCCCATTTTCGATAAAAGTAGTGAAATTTACACATACTTACACACATATATATAAACTCACACACACACACACACACACACACACACACACACACATATATATATATATATATATATATATATATAATATAAATATATATATACATGCACAGTTACACACACATATAATGTATAATTAGATATCCCCAAAGACTCGCTAAAAATGTGTCTACATGAAGAAAACGTCTCAAACTTAGTCAAAATCTTTTATCTTATTATTAAGAAGAAAGACCATGTAGAATAACAATAATAAACAGCACTTACCGGTGTAAAGGTCCCAGCTAGCGTCCAGCTGGCAGACAAAAATAAAGCAGGTTGTAACTTAATACAAACCCTGCAAACTAACTGATGAATCAAGCTGGTATTTATATAGAAATACCTCCACTCAGGTACCAGCAGCCAATCACAGCCCAAGCAATGGACTATCCCACTTTAGCACAATGAGATGCTCCATGGCAACATAAATAGCTCTCTTTTTAAAGGTTGGATGATTATTCACTTAGCTTGCTCCACAACTGAGTGTTTATCTCTACCACGTGATTTTTCTACAGACCAGAGGATTTTTTTTATTATTAAATTATATTTTTAATCCTTATTTTTCTTGGGTCAGCGAATCACCATAAATTGGTAAAAGGAAATTTTAGCTTTTTTTGCTATTAAAAACACATTGATTTTGGAACTCTTGCAAAAATCAAATAACAATTGGATTTTAATAAAATTTACGTCCGATCTAGACGTTTGTCTGCAAATTGTCGTGAATTTTGAAACCAAAATTTTGATTCCAAAATTCACTTGAAAATGAAACAGAACTAGGGACTTTAATTTAATTTAATTCTTTAATTGAATTTGAAGTTTGTAGCTTCTGTTTTTGAAACATGGTAATTCCTGTGTAGCGATGGAACCATATTTTCAAATAAGTAAATTTATAATATTTATACTCTGTAGATTTGCAATGTGCACTGTTTTGTAAAAATAAAAATATTAATAAGAACACTTGATTATATATCTATCTGTACTTTCTCTTTAATATATATATATATATATATATATGTATATATATATATATATATAATTTAACGTACACCGAAGTGCATCCATTTTTCTCTTTTATGCGTGATGATCGAAACAGTTAAACACTTTATTAGGTGGTGTAGGATAGCACTTGCTAAATATGGCATACACAAAGAAAAGAAAAACTTCACATCTGATTTAACTGATCATTTGATCTTTGAAGATATTATCAGTTATCGATCGGGCCTTCAGACGATTCAAGACAAAAAAAAACAACTATTTATAAATGGCTCCCCAGAAGTGTTTCGTGAAGCACCACCTTCCCTCAAATTTCCCAGCGGCCTAGGCAAGAGAACCATCGAATAGAATGCCATTATGTAAATATTTAGAGACTAAAAAAGAAAAGAAAAGAAACGAAACGAAAAAGACAAACAAAGACTGACATGTCAAGCTGGCTTGTTACTAAACTGACAGTGACATCCATTAAAGAAATGGAAGACTATTCTTTTATTGAATTTGTTTATGTGAAAATGTAAAGAATTTACCGTTAAAAAGGCTGCGACGTATCGTGTGTTTGTATTTGTGTGTGTCTGTGTCTGTGTGTGTGTGTATTTGTGTGTGTGTTTATTTGTGTGTGCCTGCAACAGAAATGAAGGAATAAATTTAACTTTTTACGTTTCAATGGAAGTTTTGTTTCATTAATATTATTCTTCAAGATAAAATGACTGAAAATGTAGTTTCGAGGATTCAAGAGTTAAAGACCTTTTTGAAAAGACATGGCTGGCAAATTCTGCTTCTGAAACACAAATAGATAGATAGATAGATAGATAGATAGATAGATAGATAGATAGATAGATAATAAACAAATTGAGATAAATGATTTGAATAAACATGGTCAGATAGATAGATAGATAGATAGATAGATAGATAGATAGATAGATAGATAGAGCGAGCACTTCCATGTAATTTGTCTTCCTAGATTACGAATGAGTAATGAGTTCGATCCTCACTGGATGCTCTATACTTGCTGCCTTGTGTCACATCTGAGCTACGCTTAATAAATCATTATTATGATTATCATTTGTCTCCCTAGATTACGAATGAGTAATGAGTTCGATCCTCACTGGATGCTCTATACTTGCTGCCTTGTGTCACATCTGAGCTACGCTTAATAAATCATTATTATCTTTGGGTAATTCGACTTGGTGTCATGCTTCGCATCTTTGTCGTGCGATATCAATTACAACTGAGTAGTGAGTTCGGTCCTCAATGTGTGCTGCATACTTTCGGCTTTGTGCCACATCTAAGTTACACTGAGTAAATCGCTTGATAGATAGATAGATAGATAGATAGATAGATAGATAGATATGTACACAAAGACATTTGAATAGTCAAAGATAGATAGATAGATAGATAGATAGATAGATAGATAGACTAATCAAGAGAAAGAGAAGGGTATATACATAAAGACATTTGAATTGTCACAGATAGATAGATAGATATGTACACAAAGACATTTGAATAGTCAAAGATAGATAGATAGATAGATAGATCAAGAGAAAGAGACGGGTATCTACACAATGACATTTGAATTGTCACAGATAGATCAGTAAATAGAGAGAGAAAGAGAGGCGTATATACACAAAGACATTTGAATAGTCAAAGATATATAGATAGATCAGTAGATAGAGACATAGAAAGAGAGGGGTATGTACACAAGGACTTTTGAATAGTCAAGAATAAATTTGCCTAAACCAATGCATATTTAATTTCTAATCAGTGAAGACATTGACACTTGAAAGATGTCAAGATTTTAGAGATTGGTCATAAAAGACAACCAACGGGTCATTTAAGCGTAAGGTTATTATCAGTTATGATTCGTCTAGAAATCTTTCCTCGTTTGGATTCATACTAAAAGACCCGAAAATAAAATAACTCGTCCAGATAAGGTAAACGCGTTCACTTAAAAAATGAAGACGAAGAATAAACACCATACATAGTTTCATCAGGGCGTGGGACATTAAAGCCGAATCTGTCATGTCAATATGCGTGCATGTTATGTTTGTACATATGTCTATTAGCTTGTGCGCGCTGCCTGATATATATATATATATATATATATATATATATATATATATGTGTGTGTGTGTGTGTGTGTGTGTGTGTGTGTGTGTAAAAATATATTGAAAATGGGAAAGAACTGGTTAGGTAAATAATCCAAAGTTCTTTAGTATTTTTGTTATTATTTTAAAAAAATAGTGATCTATACAAAAGTAGAGCATCAATCATATTTTTAAATAAATAATTATATATATATATATATGTGTGTGTGTGTGTCTGTCTGTGTGTGTGTGTGTGTGTGAAAAGTGCATATAAATATAAATAAATATATATATGTATAATTATTTATATATTATATGCGCAGTACTTAATTTCTAATCAGAGATAGAGCTAACATATTTGGTTGGATAGATGTGAGTTTCTGACCCTGGGGTTCACGCTTTAGGATCGTCAGACAAACAAAATTGTCTGACGATCGCTAAAGTGTGAAACCCAGGGTCACAAGCTCACATCTATCCAACCAAATATATATATATATATATATATATATATATATATGAGGCAGGATGTATGTGTGTGTGCGTAAAGAA